AGCACGGCACCTTCATTTCAAACTTTCCCAGATGTCCTGTGTACTCTTTCCCCAAGTTCCCACATTTCCTGCCACCTTTCTTTGACTTTCAGAGGTGATGGCTTAGATAAGGTGATGTCTGGGCTGGTGACACCAAGGGCCAGGCTCCCATCTTGGTGCTGCTCCTTCTCCAAGTGCAGCCCACAAAGACCCCAGCAGTCTCATCTGCATCTAGGCCCGCTGGAACTTTTATCACACTTGCCAGAGTTTGTCCCAGCCACTGCTGGCTGCGAGGGAGGCAGGGAGAAGTGGACTTCATGCCTGTGTCCAGGTGCCCACATGGATTGACACTAAGGACAGCGTGAAAACATTGGGGTCAGGAACAGGGCCTACCATGGTCAGGTTCTGGCCACTCCTGGACAGGGTACACATAGCTCTCAGACCCTGGGGCGCCTGAGACGGTGCTTCCAGAGGGCCGTTTGGTTCTTCAGATGGGGTCTCATTGGCAGAGCAAGGACGATCTGAGAGTCTACCGTTGCCCTCAGGAGGCCAGAAACCCCAGGCTTCAGAAAGGCTGTGGCCCATGGGGCAGGAGACACTCAGAGCCAGGACCTGGAACCAGCAGTGACCTTCCCTGTATCTGTCTGTAGGAGGACATCGCAAAGCTGCTGCGCTACGAGTCCTCAGCACTGCCTGCTGGGCAGCTGACCAGCCTTTCGGACTACGCCAGCCGTATGCAGGCCGGTACCCGCAATATCTATTACCTGTGTGCCCCCAGCCGGCACCTTGCTGAACACTCACCCTACTATGAGGCTATGAAGCAGAAAAACACAGAGGTGGGTAAGGGACAGGGGTGCCTACAGAGCACACTGAGGGACAGATTTGAGCCCCCCAACTCTGTGCTTAGTAGAAAAACGGGCTGTAGGCTGAGGATTTAGCTCAGTGGTTCTGTCTGGTGCCTGCCTTGCAAGCACAAGGAAACAAGTTCTATCCCCAGTACCAAAAAAAAAAAAAAAAAGAAGAAGAAGAAAAGAAAAAAGAAAAATGGGCTGTAGACCTGGAAGGCAACACAGTGCAAGGCAGGGCCCTCACCTCCAAAGTGACTTTCTCACAGGTGGTGATGGGTAGGTTTCTTCATGAATAGTGTTTCTGCTGCCAAGACAGTGAGTGCCTCCCTCAGAACCTTTGGGTAAACTGTCACTCGTGTCCAGAGGGCCCAGCATCCCCAGGGGCTGTCTGTTCTGCCATGGACCTGATGGAGGGTCTGGGGCATCCACAGGTCCTCTTCTGCTATGAGCAGTTCGATGAGCTCACCTTGCTGCACCTTCGGGAGTTTGACAAGAAGAAGCTGATCTCTGTGGAGACAGACATAGTTGTTGATCACTACAAGGAAGAGAAGTTTGAGGACGCATCCCCAGGTCAGCTTCTCTGGAGCAGGGGTGACAGGCAGAGCTGGGTGGCAGGGAGTGACATGTAGGGACACTCCAGCCTGCCCATGGATTTATCTATGAAAGATGCTGCTTGGAACCTAGTCATACAAAACATTGAGTCCCAGGAGTCTTTCCACTGTTGCTTTCATGGTGGTTCCTGCAGCTGATCGAGCTTCTATGAGAATGCAAATTGACTTTTTAAGGCCCTGAAAAAATTACCTGGGCTGCAGGCAATGGAGAGCAACTTCTTAAAGTTTCCTATACATGAAGTATGTTAGTCAGAGCTTATTCCTGTTCACACAGATTGGAGAGTCCTCAGGACATGCCTTTGCAGCAGGGCTGCAGGCCATGACCCTGGGCTCACTCGTGCCTGGTCTTCTGTAGATGGTGAGCGCCTATCTGAGAAGGAGACAGAGGAGCTGATGGCCTGGATGAGGAATGTACTGGGGTCTCGAGTCACCAGTGTGAAGGTGAGACCTTCCTGGGATGAGCTACCACCTGGCCACGTGGTCCTTGTCCCTATCATAGGCCCATTCCAGCTCCAAGTTGCTGGCCTGTTGGGCCTTTGCCCAGGAGCAGAAGCTTGTGATGTCAGGTGGAGACCATGCAGGCCCATGTTCCCATGCTCGGGTGTGGCCATGGGAAGCCCAGGAGCCTGCAGAGGCAGGGAGAGCAGGGCCTGGCTCTCACTCCCCACAGCACCCAGGAGCTGAGGAAGTAGAAGAGCAGCCCACAGTGAGTGGAAGCAGAGGAGGAGGGTCTAGGGCTAGCCTAGTCCGGACCCTGTGGGAGCTTCAGTGGCTGAAATGGGGCTTCCAAGGAAGGGACTTGCCACCTGAGCTTGAGGAGAGCTAATGTTCTGACTTACAGTCTTAGTGGGGTTCCAGGTAAGCTTTGGAGAGCTCAGCACCTGCTAGTCTAGCTCAGAGCAAAGAAAGACGTACCAACAGAGGGGTGTCCTGTGCAGGGCACTGGTTCGGGGCCATATGCAGGAGTGGCCCCCAAGGTTGAGGAGCTGGAGCAGGCCCAAAAGGCAGCAAGTCAACAAGTGGCCTTGGCCAGCAAAGAAAGAATTCCTGGCAGGATGTGCAGACAGGACTCCACAGTGGCTCCTGCCTCTATAACACACAGTATCCCTGCTTCAGATTCCAGGTTAGGCCTTACGTAATTGTTGTCTCCAGTTTGATGAGGAAATAATCACAGCTAGAGGGAACTGGGTTTTGAATCAGAGATCAAGAGTTGACTCCTCCCCAGTGACTGGGCTGGCAGACAGGATGCTTCCTCTAGTCCACGCCAGGAGGCGGGAACCCTTAGAGAAGAGAGTAGGCAAGACAGACCTTCAGAGCTTGTACTGAGGAGGCGGGAGCCCCCAGCCAGGCTGTTACGGATGACGGAGAGGGAGGAAGGTTGGCCTCAGGTGGTTAGGAGCTGTCCTGGAGACCCAACCTCCCTGATGGCCTGGGACAGCTTCAGCCCTGGCTGAGAGCCTCCCAGCCCCTCTGACCACACTTGCAGGTGACTCTCCGCCTGGACACCCACCCTGCTATGGTGACTGTGCTAGAGATGGGGGCTGCCCGGCACTTCCTGCGTATGCAGCAGCTAGCCAAGACCCAGGAGGAGCGTGCGCAGCTCCTGCAGCCCACACTGGAGATCAACCCCAGGTATAGCCCAGGTTCCCTTCTGACCTGCCAGGGGTCCTTACAGACCCTATGGGGGAATGTGTTGTGTGGTTTTTTTGTTTGTTTGTTTGGTTGGTTGGTTTGCTTGTTTTTTTGGTACCAGGGATCAAACTCCGGACCTTGCACTTTCAAGGCAGGCGGTGGAACCAGAGCTAAATCTCTGGCCCATGTGTTTTTGTTTGTTTGTTTGTTGAGACAAGGTCTTACTATGTAGTTGAGACTGGCCTAGAACTCACTGTGTACCCCAGGCTGGTCTCGAACTCACAACGATCCTCCTGCCTCAGCCTCCTGAGTGCTGGGATTACAGATGTGCGCCACCATGCCCAACTTGGCCCATCTGTTTTTTGAGACAGGGTCTCACTATGCAGTTCAGGGTGGCCTTGAACTCACTGTATAGCCAGGGCTAATCTCAAACTCATAGCAATTCTCCTGCCTCAGCCTCCTGAGTGCTGGGATTATAGGTGTGCGCCATCACACCTCACTGGATATGTTCATCTTTCACTGAGGACAATCAGAAAGCCTGCATGCAACTGGATGACTATAAAGAGGAGACCTGTGTCAGTGAGCTTATCATCACTGACAGACGTCTTAGAAATAATATAAAAGCTGGTCAGTCCTGAGGCACACATCATGGCAGGGAGTGCATGGTGTTTTGAAGCTGCTTCCTTCATGGCAGTCAGGAAGCAATGTATGACCGGAAAAAACTAGGATCCATATTATAGCCCCTTCAAGGGTATACTCCCATTTTATTTGCAAAGTCTCTCCCCTTCTGAATTATAAAATAATTTACCTGTCCTCTCCTAGTATTATGTTTTTATTTTTTGGCAGTCATGAGATCTAACCTGGGGCCTTGTATATGCTAGGCAGCAGCTCTACCACTGAGCCACATCCCCAGCACAGTATTCTCTTCTATGATTTAAATTCGTACCTTTAATATTTCCAGAAATTTGATCCAAGGAATGAGGTAGGAGTGCAACCTTTTTTCTGAATGGTACAAAAGAAATCTTTAACGTAATCTATTAATGTAAATTAATCAGCTGGATTTCATCTAAGAAACTACCACCTTTATGGTCTTCAAACTGAAGTGTTATTTTCCAATACTGAAACTCTTAACTGATTCTTTTGGCTTTTAGGGTATAGAATCATACTATGTGAAGGTCACTTACAGCTAACTTTAATGTACCTTTTCATACTCAGCAGACCCTTCTACAAAGTGCAACAGGTCTATTAACAGAGCTCAGAGAGGTGGCTGGGACAAGAAGATGGAGCCCCTGGTGCTCATGCCAAGCTGACTGGTCTGTGATTTCCTGTTACAGGCATACACTCATCAGGAAGCTCAGTGAGCTGAGACAGCGTGAGCCGGAGCTGGCCCAGCTGCTTGCAGATCAGGTGAGAGGAGGTGGGGGGGATCAGGAAGACCAGTGGGCTTGGGAACTGTTCTTCTCTCTGTATTTTGGGCTCCCATCCTCCTGCATCCTCCTGCCCACACAGTGTCCACCCCTGACTTTCAGATCTATGAAAATGCCATGATAGCAGCAGGCCTTATAGACGACCCCAGGCCCATGGTGGGGCGCCTGAACGACCTTCTCGTCAAGGCCCTGGAGAAACACTGACAGTCAGGCGGCTGGTCCTGCGATCTGATGCGCAGCCCAGAGGACAGATGGAACAGTGTGCCTCTCTGCCTGGAATGTGTCCCTTGGGCAGGGAGAGGAAAGACTACACCATGGATGAGAGACCACCACCTTGAGCTTTATTTACCTCAAGTAAAAGATATTTCTTAATCTACATTAGCTCTTTTGTCCAGGCTCTAAGAGGGTAGAGTGCTGCAGTGACAGCCCCATGTTTGGTGGCCCCTCACCAAAGTGGAGGCAAGGGGCACTGCACCTGCCATGCTGTGGGTCACCAGCCACCATCATGGGGGACCCAGGTGGCTGTGCTGCCTTCAGATGTCAGGCTCACTTCAGCATCACCTCTACTGGGTAGTGATCACTGATGGCTTGAGCCTGGGGAAGACGTGCAGTATGAGAAGGCCACAGGGCCAAGACTTAAACCCAAGCCATCTGGTTCTTGCATCCAGAACCATACTTCCAGACTTTCCCAGCTGTGCCCACACTACCCCCAGAGCCCAGCAGGGTTGCAGTGAAAAGCCAGGTCTGTGCTGAGACATGCAGAAAGCAGCAACACTAGGAATCCCACTGGGGATTCTGTGTCCCCAGCTGAGCTAAAATAAGAAAGGACACTTACAAGCTGGTCAGTCAGTACATATGCTGCCTGGAAGTCAAAAGGAGCCGCTGAGTCCAGAACAACAGCACTTTGGAGCAGAGATCCAGCAACCACAACCCTGCAGGACAGGATGGGAGAAAAAAGTCCTTTCAGCCCCACTTAGCCTGGTAAATGGTCTCGTGGCACTTGCTCTCTGGGGCCAGTAGGCCTTGGCTCAGACCTCGCTCCCCAAGCTGTGCCCACTACCCCACACCCTGCAGCCATTCGAGGAGAAAGACAACCCTATGAGAACCTAAGTTTCTGCCTTGCCCTTTGTATCCTTAAACATGCTTTTCCAAAATCTAAGAAGTCTACTTTCTGGGCCAGGGATTTAGCTCAGTGGCACAGCACCTGTCTGGCAAGTGTGAGTTCCCGAGTTCAATCCCTGATACCAAAAAAAAGTACTTCCTCAGCGGAAGGATGAATGACAGCACAGGGAGTCAGTGTGCAAAGGCTGGGTGATAAGTTCTGGAGCTATGCAGATGTCCCTCACGCCCACCAAGATCCCTGCTCACCTGTCATAGGCACAGTGTGTAGACGTCACCGTGGTGTCAGCAGTGTCAGAAATCAGCCACTGGAAGGTAGGGTTTGTACGTAGGCGGATAGAGGACCACTGGGAAGGGGACACGTAGCTGCAGCCAGCATTGAAATCACCCATCAACATGATGTCCTGCCAAGAGATACCTGCCTGTTGGCCTAGGGACAAATGGGGCCACCAGAGACCCGGGGCCCCAAGTCCGCCTCACCTCTAGGCCCCACTTCTTCCGGACATCTAGGTAGACGTCATACAGAGCATCGATCTCAGCCACTGCTTCTGTTGGGGCTGCGTGTAGGGGCACGACGGCAAAATCTCTGACCTCTGAGGAAAGAGTGGGCACACTCAGCATCCAGGGTGCACTGGCACCCACACTCATGCACAGGATGCACAACAGTTCCCCAGAGTGTGGACACTGCCCTAGGTAACTTGGGTAGAAAACCAGAGCACTGGGACAGCAAGGTTCCCAGAGACAGCACCACTTCACCCTGCAGGCTTTCTGTGCACCCCAAGAAAGCTGGGGCAGGTTACTAAGCATACTCACTCGTAAATGGGGAGGAGAACCTGACAATGGCGGGCTCTCGGCTGAAGGTGTCGTTTCCACAGGGCTCACAGCCATCATCATATTGGTAGCTGTCCAGCACAGACACACGATCTGGCCTGTGAGGAAGCCAGGCAGGCAGAGAGGTGACCTTGCAGGTGGGAGCTGCCCCTCCTACCTGCAGAGTGACCCAGCTCCTTTGGGCCACTCACAGAGGACCATTCTGCACAGCAGGAGGAACTGGGTCTGCACTGGCCACTCCACACACTTGCCCACCCAGGGAGGGCAGGAGGAGGAGCCAGCATCCCACTAGGATGGAGACAGGTGGCAATCCAACTCCAGCCTGAACCCTGCCTGGTGGCCTTGTAGTCTCCCCGTTCTCACCCTGCTGGGTCCTCCCAGACAAGGGAGGGCTTCATTATCTTCTCTGGCCCGCCCCTCAGCCTTCGGTGGTGCTCTCTGGAGTGCAGACACAGGGTCTATCTCCCTACAGCCTGACCCTTGCTGTGACAGGCCACATGGGCTCAGGGCTTCACCTGAACACGTAAAGATACTGCTCCTTATAGCTGTTGCGTCCCAGCGGCTCACTGACCACGAAGTGATAGGTGTCTGGTACATCCCTGGATGGAGGAAACAAAAAGGTCGAGGGCCAGAGGTGACCCTCTGGCTGCCAACTACAGAGCTCTGTCCCTGGGGCCCAAATGATGGGAGGCTATACCTTGGATGTGGAGGTCACCTCCCCCTGCACCCCACTGCTGTTACCCACCGGTTAAGTTCATCCAGCAACTTCCCTACAGCCGTCAGGTAGGTGTCTCTGACCTCTTGGATGAGGGCAATGTCATAGCGGCTCAGGATCTGGGGGCAGGGCCACAGCAGCCTGAGCAGGGCCAGGCTTGGAGCCTGCAGTCCACATTCCCCAGACCTCAGAGGGCCACGTCCGGGGCCAGAGCTGCTGCTCCTTGGGGTGTTTCCATGGCACAGCTCAGCCCACTATACTTTGCCTGCCTTCTGTGGTTTGCAGCCACTGACAGCAGTAGTGACAAAGACCCTGAGCCAGCAGCCACAACCCTGAGATACCTGACTTCATCAGACAGGCTCCTTGATACTGTGAAACAGTACCTGATAATCATGTTTGTCCTTCGTTATAAAATGCCTGATAGTGTCCTTTGCCTACCCCATGTTCTTCTCACCGGGGACAGGCAATGAATGTGTGCCTGAGGACAGGGCTGGGTCGTACCTGCCAGTCTCTAGTCTGGGGACCTCGAGGTCACCTTGGAGCTGAAGGCCAAATCCAGGCACATGGTGCAAATGGAGCCTCACAGCAGCCAGACCACATGGCCTGGGACTCTCCCACCACCCAGCACTGCTTTTCTGATTCCAGTCATGAGGTACAGGCAACTTGGCAAGAAGCTGGGGACTTGGACTCACTAATGAATGAGACTTGAGACTAGAAACTCTTTATGGCCCTGTGCAGCTGCCCTGAATTCTTAGGACCCATTATTCCCCAACCCCTGGGGTCTCAGGGACACTGCACCTTGGACTTACCTGCACAATATAGTTGGAGAGGGTGGCATTGGCCATCTTGGTCTCTCCAAAAGTCCTGATGTTGAAGGCTGCAATTTTCAGGGGCACAGCCACCTGCAGCAAGCTGGCCAGGGCAAGCAGCACTGGTGTCAGCTTCATGCCCATCATCCTGGGAGAATGTAGGTTACAGGGATACCAAAGCAGTGAGACGTGGCCCAGACATCCTCACCCTGCTTGGCAGGAGCTGCTACAGCCCAAGGTTGGGGTGACCTGTCCTCACAGCCGTGCTAGATCCTCAATTTTTTTACTATACCCATCCAGAAGGATAAATACCAAAATGTCACAGGGAGAATGCTGGGTCTTGCTACTCCTTTTCCTGAAAACCAGCCTTGGGAACAATGTTAGCCTAAGGCAGCTATGGTAGTAGAGCCCACAAGGGCCAGCACTTGCTCAAATGGACTCCGCTGTGCTGGGACCCAGCCCTGAGATGCCCCCCACACCTACCCACCATCTGGCCAGTCACTCCAAGGAACTCAGGGGTGACCAAGCCTGGCACTCACCCAAGGTAATATCTGCAGAAGCAATGGGAATTCAGTCAAGAATCTGGAATATTCTCCTTTTGTTGCCCTAAGGAAAAAAATAATTTACAGTTTAAAGAAAAACAGCAGCCAGGCTTTGCAGGGCTGCTGGAGCTCTGATTCCCGCACAAGCACAGCTGGTCCTGCTGGGCCTTTTAAAAGTTCAGGCAGCCAAGACCGCCCCCGGGACACGTGTGCACACCTGGCCCAAATGTACCAAACTATGGCACTGCCTATGTGGCCTTCACACGAGGGCGCTGGGCAGGCTGCTGGCATTTGCTGACTTCATCAGACAGGCTCCTTGATACTGTGAAACAGTACCCGATAATCATGTTTGTCCTTCGTTATAAAATGCCTGATAGTGTCCTTTGCCTACCCCATGTTCTTCTCACCGGGGACAGGCAATGAATGTGTGCCTGAGGACAGGGCTGGGTCGTACCTGCCAGTCTCTAGTCTGGGGACCTCGAGGTCACCTTGGAGCTGAAGGCCAAATCCAGGCACATGGTGCAAATGGAGCCTCACAGCAGCCAGACCACATGGCCTGGGACTCTCCCACCACCCAGCACTGCTTTTCTGATTCCAGTCATGAGGTGCAGGCAACTTGGCAAGAAGTTGGGGACTTGGACAGGGATTTGGGCCTTGCGGGATTAGGCTTGCTAGGCCTGTGGGCAATGCTGGGGAAGGGTGGGGACTGCAGGGTCAGACCTTGGTCCAGTCATTTCTTTTCTGATCTCACAGTTCTGGAGTCCAGAAGCCTGAAACCCAAGTTTACTCAGCTCTGGGGAACCATCCTTGTCCCTTCAGCCTCTGTGGCTACCAGGAGTCCTGGGCTTGTGGCTGCGTCAGTTCAGTGTCTGCCTCCATGGTCATGTGGCCTCTGTGTCAACTCTCCTTCTAGAAAAACAAATGTGATGACATTTAGGTCTTCCCAGAGAAGCCAGTGTCCACATCTCATGGTCCTTAATCACACCTGCAAACACCTCCTTTGTCATATAAATTAACATTCAAAGTCCCATGGGTATCTTCTGAGGCACCGTTATTCAGACACCTCTGGGTTCCATTCCCAAACCACCAAAAACTGTTTAAGTTTTATGTGCATTACTTTTTCCAATGTCTACCATAAGTTGCAGGGCATAAATATTTGTTGTTTGGATTTAGCTACTTAATAAATGGAACTGTGAGGGACTCCGGCCTAGAGACCCTTCTATGTGCAGTGGTGTATATAGCTCAGCTACTTAAAAGGCTAAGGCAGGAGGGCTGCTTGAGCCCAGAAGTCTGGGGCTCATGTAGGGAATAAACTAAAAGTACTCTGTACCAAGTCTGGAAATGCTGACCTAACAGGGATGGATACACTTGAGTTACAGGAATCCGCTTTACTCAACATTGCCACTTTTCTAGACTTCATGTACACTTACTTGAATGCCTCACAAAGAAATTCTCAATTCTACAAGAGGATACAGAGGAGAAAAATGGTAATGGATTAAATGGATCCCTTGTGTTTAAATCCATGAATTCAAGTGATGTAAAAACATTACCAGGCGGCTCTTGGGGATGCTAAGAGGAGACCAACTCCTTATTCTACAGACTGGCAAATAAGGTCCAAGAGTCAGGAACTTACCCTGCCTTTCCTCTGCAGACAGTACTGCTGAGTAATCCCAGTTAGGAAGTTCCCTGTGGATAAGAGACTAGCAAAGAGCAAGATTTTGAAACAACCCAGGAAGGAAATGAGGACTTTGAAACATACATTTTGCAGTCCCCAAACCTAAGCACTGTGCCTCCTGATCAAAGAATACAGCAGCACTAAGGAAGGATTCTTGCCCAAACAACCAGACCTCCGGACCTAAACGTGGACCTACAGCAATAGGGATAGGAAGGCTCATGGTCAGCAGCACAGGGAAGACACGGCACTACTTAGACCACACAAAACAGCACATGTCCAAGGACAATCTCATCAATAAATTTTAAGGAAGAGGCACACGGGTGGGGGGAGCTTAGAGTAAAAACAAACTATTGGACATATTCAGACCCTGTAAAACAAATCTTTTAATCATGTAAACCAGAGATTTGTTTAACCCACCATTATCAGAGGCAACTGGGGAAAAAAGACTGACCCAGGAAATGATGAGCGAGCGTGCCAAGGTTTGGCAATAACATTCTGATCACATTTCACAGTCAAAGGCTGAGGTATGTCAGGATGAGGTGATACGTTGCCTGGGATTTGCTTCAAGACACTGCCGTGACCCCAGCATACCAGTAGTTCTGCTGCGTGCCTTGCAAGTGCAAGGTCCTGAGTTCAATCCCCAGTACCCCCTCCCGCCAAAATTCTATAAATCACGCCAGGGATTTAGCTCAGTGGTGCTGCATCTGCCTCGAAAGCACAAGGTCCTGAGTTCGATCCCTGGTACCAAAACACAAAAAATATTCTATAAATCAAAATCTGTAGACCACACAATATGCAGCATTCATAAGCAAGGTAACAAGAAATTAACACAGAGGTTTGTATCTGGGAAAGATCCTTGGATGGAGGGGAAGAGGACTCCTGCTTAGGCAGCCAGAAGGGCGGGCTGGTTCCAGGTTGGGGTGAGAGGGCAGGATACTGCCACAGTTTTGCATATGGCAAATAGTATGTAGAGGGTGAGGCAGAGGAGCAAGGATTTCTGGTGAGACTCTGGGTTGGTATGTGGTGACTGTCAGGTTGGGGCCGAGGGCCTCTCTGCCTTCATAGGAGAGGTGGTGTCTCCCGCTCAGGAAACACTCTTGAGGGGTCTCCTTGGAGTTTCCTCCTAGACCTAAGCTCATGATGCCTCTCTGGTGGGCATCATAACTTGCCACCGTCATAATGGACCGCAGGTCCCGTTCCTGCCTTCTCAGCTTATTGCTGTATCTCTACCACCATCCGCTTGGACAAATTCCTGAAATCATTCTAGGTCCCTGCTGTCTCACACACACTTCACGAGTCTCTTCTGCAGCCACCACACTGGCCCTGTTACCTCTTCTCCCTGTGGCTTTCCTAATTCTAAAAGCCATCCTCACAATCCACAAGGCTCTCAAAACATCCCAGATGTGTAATCAGATCACATGTCACATTTTCTCCTGCTTAAAATCTGTCGCCAGTTTCTCATTGCCCTTAAGAAGGAATCCAATGCTTGTCATGACCTGTGCAACTAGCTCAGAGCCTGCCACTCCTCCTGTGTAGCTGGGGCCTTCCTGCCCTTCCAGTTTCATCTTAAACGTCACCTCTTCCAGCGAGGCTGTCCTCTCCCTACCAATGGCCCCAC